TTTCACCCGCTCTTTCACTCACACTGTCTCTCCATCCACAGCTCAGTTCGTCATACGTTCAAAAGTTGCCCACTGGTCATGTTTAGTTAGTGTGTGTACATGTGCATGATGGTGGTGTGTGTGTGGTGGGTGTTACTGAAGGTTGTCTGTAGGCGGTGTTCCTTCTTCCCAGATCAGAGGCAGAATGAAAGTTGGCGCCGAACTCTCGCAATAAATAGGCAAAAAATCACGAGACCGGAAGCCGGAAACCATTCCGAGAAATAAAGATCGGCACTATTTCTCCGAACGTTCTGAGAAATAGTCACTTCGTTTGGAGAAAGCGTACTAGATCTAGATATCTAGAATCTATGTAAAGTTTGTACTAAAAACTAACCCTAGAATTCAATTTAGATTTTGAAAGCACTTCATCATGTGTAACCCAAACCAAAAAAGAAAAGTTATAGTTTTGTAAAGATTAAGTCAACAATTAGAATCTAGGAGAATAGACTATAGAATAGACTGGATGTGACACAACAAGGTTATCCTCCCCCTGCCACTCCCCCTTTTTACCCCCAGTCCTTCACTGCCTTTAAATAATATGGATTTACAGTCTGGAAAGTATGATAAAATGTGCAAAATTAACTGCGATTAGATAAATACAAAGCTGTAAATGCTGCCAACTCCTCCCCAATTTATGCTTCCGGTTATATCATTACACTCTTTCATTTCGAAGGAGAAACTACCTGCCCGGTGCCATGTCATCATCATGACTCACTCTGGCAGCACTTTCAAAATAAACACCTGAAACACGTCAATTCAGATCAATATGATATCAATCACTGACGACTGCAAACTCTACGAGACATATGCATGCCCTGAACAAGTGAAACTATCAAAAATTAACCAAATATACTCTTTCAGTCGTCCCCGAGGGGCGTGTTTTCAGAAACGTAAGAAGCCTGGGTAGAGGACAAGAATACAATTTCTTTTTACCTGCACATGCTCCTGGAACCGAATTGGTAACGCCGTCGACATGGCTGTAAGCCAATCCTCTCACGCACTGACACCAGTCGAAATAAAATTGTATCCCTGTCTCAACCAGTCAAGATTATGATCTTTCACTGTTGCACTGCCACACAGTTTGCAGTAAGATGGCTGCCGCCGGTGGTCTAAAAGGAAAGTAGTGCAAGCTGAAACTCAGAACATTATCCCAAAAAATCAAAATTTTTTGTAGCTTATATTTAAAAAACAATTTTGTTTTTTAACTTAACAAAGAATATTAACACGAATTATATGTTAATCTAAAAAGCATTTTACTACAAACAACGAACAAAATCACGGCACTATGTAACTGTATTGAGATAATATATTCTTCCGCACAAAGAGGCGTCTACATCGTGGGAGTCGAAGCCGATAAACAACACGGAAGTCGGTTGGTCGGCTGTTAGAATGAGAAGAATTTGGGGCTCGTTCGTTATTTTGCAAGAATCATACATTTCCAAAACAATTTGACACGGAAGTTCTTCGTTTTTCTCTTAGTACTTAATATTTCAGGCTTATATTTTTTATCAAAAGGTACGTTGTATCTGTAGCACCTCTTTGGAAGACTTAACGTATACATTACTCTCATAAAAACGAAGAGCTCCCTCGGTATAAACGTGTATTAGCATTACGCACGACATTGGCTAACTTATAAATAGCCTCTATATGTTTGCGTGGTAAGGATTCAATTTCGCAAGAACCGGTTTATTTGTTTTCGGAATTACTCGGTTTGGGCTTCTATGCGATTTTGTGAGGAATGGGGGG